AATTGCTCAATTCTCATTTCTGCACAATATATTAATTACATAAAAAAATATTTCAAACTAAATTTGGGAAGGAAGGTAGATATATATTATCCATATGTATTAACAACAAATTTTATCGAAAATATATTACAATTATATTACAAATATAATTACAAAATATGGTTTACTAAGAAATATATTACAAAGATATTAAAAATATATTAAAATATATATTACAATTTTTGATTTAAAAAGTAAAGAGTGTACAAATTTTATTAAACATATATGACAAAATTTAATTACTAAAAAATATATTAAAAATATATTCAAAAATATTTTTAAAATATCATATAAAATATATATAAAATATATTACAAAATAAATGAATATTCAAAAATATTTTGTAACGATCATATAAAATATATTTAAAATATATTACAAAATAGATTTATTAATTTCAATATATTTTTTACTCAATACGAATTGCTCAATTCTCATTTGTGAACAATATATTAATTACATAAAAAACATTGTACAATTATTTTAAACAAAATTTCGTAAAAAATATGTTCAACAATATATGTCAGTAAAATTTTTAGTAAACATATATTAATTTAATAAATTATTAGAAAATATATTAACAATATATTCACAAATCTAATAAAACATAAATTTCAAAATATATTACCAATATACCTAAATTCATGATGCACAATACTTTTACAAACAACGTAGTTAGTTCATGGAATAAAATATAAACTTGCGTTAGTCTTTGTATGTGTTCATGTTGATTCATGTAAATTTAATTGCAATTTAAAGCGTACCATGGCGTCGTTCACCTCTACTGCAACTTCCAGTACATGGCTACGACGAATGTGTGCCTGTGGACATGGCCCCTGTATTGTTAAGATTTCCAGGTCCACCAAAAATCCAGGGCGTCCCTGCTTTGTCTGTCTCCACCCTGTGGTGAGTGACCCAATCTTTACCGATCATAACTGTATGAACATTAACAACCCATGAAACTAATAGTTCCATAATTTCCACTCATCAGCCCTGTGTCAGTTGGATTGGTTGGTGTGAAGAACGAAGGCGAGAGAACCAAGGCTATGTGTCACCTGGAGATGAAATTGCCATGCAATTACGGGCTGATGTCATAGACATTCAACAATCCTTGCGTGTCCTTAAGACCATTGTGTATGTGCTCTGCATTGTGGTTGTCATTTGTTGTGCCGTATGTAAGCACCGTTACCATGTTCTTACTATGTACAAAGACGTTAGTATGTTGTCAGTATGTAGTTAGTATGTTCGTAGTATGTTGGTAGTATGTTGTCACATATGGGAGCCGTAATACTAACTATCATATTTTTGTCCACTACTAACTTCCATGGAACCTGTTTACATACGTTAGTAATTTTCAATGGGTATGTGCAAATTTAACTTTAGCATCATATATCTCTGTTTGTTGTTATTAATGTGTCATGGCTTATGTGTGTGTATATAACAACCAAATTTGTGATGGTAATCTTTTGTAATCGTACATTAGTAATGGCTTCCACACGTACTTCGCCGCGTAACCACTCGAAAAGCAAAGGCATTGTCAGTGACAAGTCAAGCAGTCTTGAAGAGACACAAAGTTAGTTAAGCCACAAGGCCTCATGGGACAGTAACTCAGTCCGAGTTTTCCTCCAGTTGATCGCAAATGAGATTAGTAAAGGAAATCGCCCATTCTTAGTCCTCAGCCAGGCAGGGTACAAGTCGTTGTCAAGGAAATTTGAGAAAAAAACAAGAAAAAAACATGGACTGAAACAGTTGAAGAATAAGTACATGAGCTTGAAAAAAGAGTGGCAAGCGTGGACAAAGTTGATGGATTCAAGCAAGGGAGTGTCCGGGATAGGCTTTGACTATGACACCAGTTTGTTTCAGGCACCTGACGAGTGGTGGGACAAGATGGAATCAGTAAGTACATGTACAAACAAGTTTCATATCTGACATTTACTAGTAATTTTTTTACTTTTTCATTTAACTGCAATACAATTTATTTATATGAAATATAACGTCTGCCTCTTTTATACATCTATATTTCTGCAGATCAACAAGGCGTATGCGAAGTTCAGGAAAAAAAACTTTGGAACACCGTGACTTGATGGAGACGGTTTTCATGGGGGCATCAGCTACTGGGAAGCACCATTGGACCCCGGGAGAGACCCTTCCTGAAGCTGATGAGGACTCATCTGATTCAATGCGTAGTTTGGGAGCCCAGCCATTTGCTGATCCGATACCCGCAGGAATACAGGACGTGGATTCTGATTCTTCACTCGAGCATGTTCCGATTGAAAAGCCAAAAAGGAGAAAGACGCCATCAACAAGTGTTTCAAAGTCGAAGAAGGCAACAAGTGGTGCGTCCGTTATTGCGGAAAACATGAACATAATGACAGATGTGGTTCGTTCGAAGAATCAGCAGGTCACGGTTAGGCACCTCACAGGCAACGAATCGCTCTACATT